TTTTGGTGATACCTATTTGCTTTTGTTGTAATTTTTGATTTAATAAAACTCATGAGAAGAAATAAAGTGTATGAAAAAACTATAAATAATATTTGATAAGAATGTTTTGAAACTATTTAATTATACCAAAACGATTGTCTACACATATCAACTTGAATAGGACACTGAGTTTGTATGATTGCTAACTGATCACTTTAAAATACGTGTTGTATGTATGAGGTATTGAATACTTTTGTTTTAAATTAATTTAATTAATAATTGTTTCAGGTCAATCGGCATTCGGAGAATATCTTGAACGTTATAGTAATTGTAACAGCATACAATCTGTGCCGGTCCATTGTTCTAGACCCGAATGTCATGGAAACGTAGGAACAGTATATAATTTCGGTTAGTTGGAAGTTATTTTTCGAACTATACTTAGCCGGTTGTCTAAGCAATGCTTTTCTTGTTTGGAGAAAGTAACTCTTGCTATCCATTTTCAACGAGTACACCAGACACATTGAAATTCCACTGCACAATCAGTTATCTAAAGTCTTCGTTAACACAATAAGGTCGACCTTTTCTAAGCTTTCAGAATCATTATGTTATACATAAAAAATTATATTTTGGACTGATATCTATGTTCATACAGTGAACGTCAAAATGAAGTATACACCTAATATAATATTAACAGTTATTTTCATGAACAATTTTTTACATTAATTATTTATGAAAATATAGTTCATTCTATAATATAAACCACATAAATCAAAGTTTCACACTTTATATAAAGTTCACAAAAATTCAAAATTTCAAACTTTTTATTCAGAGTTTCTAGGAAATTTCCGAGTATTCAGTTTTGTAGTCCATTAAATTTTAGTAAACAAAGTGCAAGTTTCAAGTCGCTAAAAATTACCGTTGATTTTTTAGATTATTTTTTGGGGGTGTTGCGCTTTCTTCCGTATAAAGCATGATCAAAACCCAAGATTTGACCCAGACATACTATACATAGATTATTAAGATTTTATGTGGCATATTTCCTTTTATTCGAGACTTTGTGGCAATTTTCAGATTCAATAGTATATTTACGTATCGTCGCCTGGATACAAAATTGTTGTGTGTTACTTTCGGCAGGTTTTGGGATATCGTGATTGAAGTTTGGAATGGAATTTCTCAAAAACACGACGATAGATTTTCTTCAAAGTCTCGGAGATTGTTACTATTTCTCGAAATTCTTAAATTGTTCTATTTTTATTGTTTATTCGTTTTGTCATATGGCTACATTTCTTAATAATTTTGCAGCCACTTTGCATCATCGATATTTTTACTCAATATCTTGGAAACTAAACGAGATATCCAATATGGATAACGCCACATTATTAAACTAATTTGTAATAGATTATCGCTAAAAATTTGATAACACCGATCGAAGGAACTTATTTTAAAATGTAAATCTGCATCTATGTATAACAAAAAATCGTCAACGACAATCTTTTATCCAGGCGACGTTATACCTTAAGAAAAAGTTACGTATGTATACTTTGTTCACACAAATTTTTGATTTTAATTAAAGAATGGATATACAGTACGGCCACTGGTTAAGAGATCACAATCTACAATTCAAATTACAGTTTTACACTTAAAAAGCTTATCTGTATTTTATGAAAGATCGTAATTTCTTTATCTAAGAGCCAGATGCATACGTATTTTAATCAACATACATACATACATACTTATGTACAGATGTATGTACATAAGTACATATTGCTGATAATAACCACGTTTATGAGTAGTATATAGGCGTTATTTTCATTTTATCAAAGTTAAGTGAAGAACATCGATCTTGCTAGAACTTGTACATACAAATGCAGCGCAGCATCAAGTACATATGTATGTACATAAATACATCGTCTTGCAGATACATATCAAAATAACGCTCAACAAGTGTGATTAAGGAATAATATTGAGCAAAGGCGAGTGCTAAGAGTTGCTGCACAGTGGTTTAAAACTGGCATTTGGTTTTCATAATTCACTGGAGCCTTCATTTTTCAATCAATTCGATTAATCTTGTAATGAAAGCTTATACAACTTGCAAGAGACCGGTTGAGCTTGATTTTTGAATTTTTATTTGATTATATAATTTTTTTTAATAAAAATTTTGGGTATGCAGCTTTATAGATCATTAAATTTTAGTATAATAAAGTGCGAGTTGAAAGTGGCTAAGAGCTTGGATTGATATTTAATAATATAACAAACGCTTTTATTTTCCTTTAGCATGCAGCTGTGCTCGAAATGTTAGCGAAACAAATTATTAAAAATAAACGCGATATCTTAGCCACTTGCAAATCGCACTTAATTGTACTTAAATTTATTGATCTATAAAACTGCTTACCCAACAATTTTCTAGAGACTAAAATTTTCTTTTAAATTTTGGTGTGAACATTTTTTTATAACATTTCAAATTTTTCTTGTGCAATTTTTTCGTTTTGGGGGAACTTTACAATTGTTTTCAATTAGTTTTTATTATGTAACATTTATTAACTGGAACAGGAAATCGATTTTCTTGCTTTTCTTTCTGCATTTTGCACTAAAAATTTTAATATAAACAAATAAATAATTCAATAATCTCTTGCTAGTTTTGTAAGTTTTTATAAAAAAAAAAAATATCAAATTGGTAAAAAAATTAAGTCTCCACTGAATTATGAACGGTAAATTCTAGTTTTGAACCACTGTGCGCTGCTGCGCATGATTGTGTTATCGGCCAAAGATATGTAAATATGTATGCGCACCGAAAATAAGTACATATCCGTACCTTTGCTGCAAGAGTGTCATAATCGAAAAAAATATATATATTTTTTTAGTCAAGCATGCACGAAATTACCTCTTTCTATGTTGTATACAAATTTCATAGCTGTATCGATTAACCATAGCTCATACGAAAATTGGCCTTAGTTTTTACTATGGGAGCGTTTGTAAACTGTAAACTTTAATGCCGTTTTTCTCAAGTTTTTGATTTTTTGTATTACGACACTCTTGCAGCAAAGGCATGATATGTATTTCCACGTTTTTTATTAGCTAAAAATACGCTAAAATTACTGAGTGCCGCAGCTGCTAGTAGTCACAAAATGTGATCACTAACTTAATACTGCTGCTGCATGCTGGACATATATATATATATAGAAGATCATTAAATCGTTTGTGCAAGCAAGCGTAGAACTGAGCGAAGCAAAACCAAGCTCGTGTTGAGTCTTTGAGTTTGACTTTTCAGAGAGAGAGAGAGAGTGTGAGCCGTATGAGAAGTATCCAAGATTGGCGCGCGGCGCTGAGTGGTGGTGTGTACTGATGGTGGTTACTTTCCATTTACTGCGCTGTTTACGCTCAGCGTTTGTATTGCTGCTTTATTTGTGTCTCGACTTTGCGTTGGCTTCGGTGTTTGCACACCTTTTCGTCGTGTTTATTAGTGTATTTTTCGGCTAATTAAATTGTGATTTAGTAATTATATTTTTGGACTTTTACACAACGGTTTTGAGTTTATTTTCCTTTCCAATATGTTTGTAGCAAGTGTAAAGTTGGAGAAAAATTGCTTGGGCATGTGAAGAAAAGTCCATTATTTGTGGGGACTTGAAGATAGCCTGAAGATACCTGTTTCTGATAAGCGCACATGAGAGTGAGGAAATATACGCACATAAAAAGTTATGTATTCACATATATATGTACTCCCGGCATGAATAGCGATTTGGTATTTTGGTGTAACAACTAGCAAATTAGTATTTGCGATAAATTTTCAAGTCGACGCAGCGCAAAAAAAAAATCTGAAAACCATTTATTTCTAAGCTCCGTAACCACTTACAATGCATCCACGTAACAGCAATTTTGCAATACTATTTTGTGGCATTCTGTTTGCCGCAATTTCGTTGTTAACAGCGCCAACAACAGCACAGCAGCAACAAGTTACCGTGCACCTGTTGGGAGTGGGGAGCGAACGAGAGGCAATTGTAGATGCCCCCAACTGGCATGCAAAATTCACACCCCAGCAGTTGCAAATGCATATGGGCACCAGCGCTGAAGTATTACTGGAACTAACAGGTATGCACAATTTACACATAATGTTAAGTGGGTGAATAACAGAGGTGCACTTTTTGCTGTTAAATGCCCTGTAATGGGAATGTAATTTCTGAAATGTGCAGTAAATACTGCCTGGTTTTAAATATATGTATATATTTTGTGAAACTTTTTATTAAAAAAAAAAATAATAACTATATATAAAAATTAGACCGTAGCAAAGTTAAGTGTAAAGGCCAAAAAAGTTCGAATTGTCTTCAAGCGTTTTTTTCAACAATTTTTTGCAAGCTTTTTTCTATCGTATACAGGGTACCATTTGCAGAAAAAAATTATAATTTTTTAATTTGTCTTTAATTTTGTCTCCGATTTAGGTTATTTTAACAGGATCGCAAAAAAAATTTACACTCTGAAATCTCATAGTGAGTGCTGAAAATCGCTTGGAGCAAATTAAGTTTTTTTTTGTGATACGGTCTAATGCACATTAACCGAGGTCGTCAAAATCGATTTCTGATTAAGAGATAATTGTTAGGGTAAAAATTTGTCTACATAGATGATTCTAGAATTTCTATTAACCACTTTTTGACCAAAATCGGACTACCGCAACCGATGCCAGAAATGGTTTGAAAACTCAAAATCTTTATTTAATCGAGTAGAAAATAAAAGCTGCCTTTTTTACTAGTCCTTTTTTGGAATACGATGTTCTTCCAAGTGATTTTTTTTTCTAAAAACAATTAAATAAAACTAATTTTTATCTGTTATATACCCAAAGCTTAATACAATTTTATAAGAATATTCATACCACTCATAAATTCGTCACAGATTTGCCCCTGAACGCCGCCTTTGAAGTGCTTAGTGAGAATCCCAATTTGGCCAGTGTGCAGCATCTCATACCAGCGGATGTTATTAATTCAACTACCCTTGAATGGCGCGGTAACATCACAGTCGATGCCATCTTTCTTGGCTCCACTAAAGCCTTTGTGCGTCGCGTCAATACCACAGATCGCGCTGACGGTACGCTCGAGCTAACAATCATACGACGCACGCGCATCATAGATCACATCTTTACCGGTTCTGTTGCGTTACTCGTTTCGCTGTTGTACATAAATTTCGGCGCCGCTTTAGATGTAACAGTGCTGCGCAGCTTATTGGCGCGTCCTGTAGCGCCCATCACTGGTTTTCTTACGCAGTTTATTATTATGCCCCTCTTGGGCTATGGTCTGGGTGTGCTCATATTTCCCGATTCGCCAGAATTGCAGCTCGGTCTCTTTTTTACGGGCGTTTCTCCGAGTGGTGGCGCATCCAATATCTGGGCCGTCATCTTGGGTGGCAATATTAATCTATCCGTGCTGATGACCACCATTAGCAATTTTGCTGCTTTTGGCATGATGCCATTGTGGATTTTCACGCTCGGTCAATTGATTTTCGATCGTGCAAACATTACAGTGCCCTATGCAAATATTGCTACATTTGCGGTATCGCTGGTAGTGCCACTTGCCATCGGACTGGCCATACAACGTTGGTTACCACGCGTAGCACGTGTGCTGGTGCGGTTGCTCAAGCCGATTTCCACCTGCCTCATACTTTTTATTGTAATTTTTGCGATCGTTACAAACCTTTACTTGTTCAAATTGTTCTCGTGGCAGGTAAGTGATAGAGAGTGGCCGAGTTTTGATATGTTTTAATTACAAATTTTTTTATTTTATTGTTTTCACAGATTATTGTTGCCGGGTTGGCGCTGCCTTGGCTGGGTTACGTGTTTGGGTGGTGTGCGGCGAAAGCTTTGCGTCGCAGCTCCGTTGATTCCCTCACGATTGCCATTGAGACTGGCATACAAAATACGGGCATTTCGATTTTCCTTTTGCGCTTCAGTTTGCCGCAACCAGAAGCCGATCTGACCACAGTCATACCTGTCTCTGTGGCCATTCTAACACCGTTCCCACTGCTAGGCTTGTATATCTATAAGCGTTGCGCTGAGCGTGGCATCGTAGAGGGACAAGTGGACACGCAAACGATTACACCAACTCATAGAAATTAGGGAACAAAGCGTGCACAGGGAGTTCGGAAATGACCTTTCCTGAGTTTTATTATTACATCACAACTTAGATATTTCATGGGTAGAGGGGCTTACAAAAAGCGCAAGCATATTTTTTTGTTTGTGGTTTTATTACATTTTTTTTTTATCGTAGCCTTAACGTATTACGAAGACTTTTTAACAATGCGACAGTAAAAAAATAGCTTTAAAGTTTGTTAAAAAATTGTGCCGCAAAAAGAGTCGCTTTATCCTCGCTTCTCGGATAGAAATAAATTAGCATTTGTTTAGCGTGTAATGCGCCTGCATTTTACATTTAAAAGCAATATTCTATATTTATATTTTCTGTTTAAATTATACACAACAATTTTGTTCAATAAATCTTTTATTTAAATACAAAAACGGACCCACTTTAATCTGTAAACACGCCATTTTTTCTGTAGCAAAATTAGTTTTAAATTTCTTTTGTGGCAGAGAAATAGCTTTTTCTAAGCAGCTTCATTGCCACTTGTTTGTATCAGCACTTTAATTAAACAATTTATAGTTTGTACATCTAGATTAAGTTTTTTAAACTCGTATAAATACCTTATGTAATTAACTGTACCGCTAAGATCGACCAAATTCAGCAAATTCGGCGTTAAATTATAATAATTTACTACAGCGAGTAAACGCGCTACCTCCTCCGCTGTAAGATCAGTAATAACGCTTGGCTCAAAACTGCTGGCGCTGATGAAGCGACGCAATGGCGCCGCTAACACTCGCCGCGTATTCTCAATGAACATTTTGAATCTTTCCAGCTGCGCATGCATCAGTTCGCTGGTCAGCAATATATGTGGTTGCTCATATTTTTCCATATACAAATCTATCAACTTAATTTGCCAAACATCGTTGCATTGGGGCTTACCTTGCAAGCGTTGGATGAGCTGTGAGTATGTGAGAAAAATTATTTGTAAGCAAAAATGTTTAAGGTTTTTCGTTTCGTGAAGTAAATTACACTTCCGAACTTTATTTAGGGTCGAGCAAATATTGCATATCTTACTCACATTGAAAGTCGTCAGATAAATGGGTAACACATGCATCTTATCCTTGA